TCTTTTTAAAAAAATTCGTTATAAAAAAATTTATTGAATTTTTATTTTGGATTACATAAAGTATTACACGAAGTGTTAATTTTAATGTCTCTCGTGAGTAGACATTATAACGATAAATTTTCTGAAAAAAAAAAAAAATTAAGAAAAATTAATATTGAAATCTCAAATTAATAGTTGTGCATCAGGATAATTCCTTAAAATACAGAGACACGGCACAAAGCGTTGCAAATAAAATACAACGATTATTTATTCCGTGTTTATTTTCGTCTAAAAATGTTCTCTGATCAGATCCCATAGCAACAGCACGTCTTACCGATCAACGATTATAGAAACTAGAATAGCCGTTTTAAATTATTATTATTATTATTTTATAACTGGAGGAATAGAGAAAAAATTTTAATATAAAATTCTTCACTTTATATTAATAAAAGTAAAATATGAGGCAGCACATTTTTCTAAATACTTTTCGATGATATTGAAAGACAAAGAGAGATGAAATATAACGGTTTTGAATGATATAAATAAGTTGAATAAAAAAAAAAAAAAATTACTAACCTAAGGTAACTTATTTTTACTTCTATTCATCGAATACTATTAAAAAATAACAAAAAAAAAAAAAAAAGAAAAAAAAAGAATAACGTTTCAAAATAAGCTTATTTATTTATAATCTATTTAATCTATTAATTAATAATAAAGACATCAAATTACTTAATAAAGTACTTTCTTACTTATTTGTCTTTAAATATAATTCTCTAATTAACTTTGTCATCATGATTTATATGTAATATACGTATAATACATATTATCAATCGCGAATTATTTGTACAACGATAAACTTTTGACCTTGCAAAAAATTTATGAGTTTATGTTTAATAATAGGTTAACATAATTTCAGCCAACTTAATTTACATAAATAATAAACCAAGTATGTCATCAAATATAAATATTTATCGTCAAGGACAAACATCTTCTTTCGTAATAATAACGCGATGAACAATGTGATATTTCTGAAAATTAGATCACTCCAGACGGCGTGCGCCCTATGCAAATGATAGACGCTTTTGTGTCTTCGATATATATATATATGACGTCCTTGACGACGTCGTAGCAGCAGCTTCGTGTATAGCGTATATATGCACGTGTGCTGGCGCTTCGAAGGGATCATAGCGACGCGAGGCGCAGCAACATCGCGCTTGTATTTTAGTCTCAACAATTCTCTCTCTCTCTCTCTCTCTCTATATATATATATATATATATACATTTCCAGGTCGCGCGACATACAACTGGCCAGAGAATCGAATTATTCTACAATAAAATTTTCATTTCTAGAACTTGACATTCATATAATTTTTTTTTATCGTTAAACTAACCTTCAACTTCTTTTTCTAATTATATACCGACCGATAAAGTTCTAATATATTATTATACGCATACGTGTACATATAGGTATACAACTTTTTCGTCGAATGTCGCGCATTTCGATTCTCGCAATGTTGTCGCAGAGCGTCAGTTATCGAAGAAAAAACTTTGCATCCATTGTTCCTCGTTCCCACGATTAACTTTCCGTTTGACGGGCCATTTACGTTCGCGAAAAAAATTGATGCGAATGAAAAAATTCGACTACGAACGATTTATCAAGTGATATCTTCCAGAGACACATGGGTATGCGAGATTAAGGGTTTCGGGATAGGTCGAAAAAGTTCGGCCAAGATCGGGCGAAATTTCTTGTCCCGCCGATCATATCCGAATTTTACCGATCCATTCCGAAGTCGTTTGATTTCCGAGACTCGGGCAAAATTGAACACTCGTAATAATTTCGCTTTCCCTTCCGGATGAAAAAAAAAAAACGAATCTACACGAAACAAAAGGAAAAAGAAAGCAACGGTGATATGATAAATATGTTAAGGAAAGGCTAGGTCAGGGCTAATCATTGATTGTGTGCACGTCTGCGAACCAAACAATGCTAAGGGCGTCGACAATGCTAAGGCTAACATCGATCCAATATTGTGCAAACACCTTTATTCCCACCTGTCGCTGCTAGATCATTCACGCGTTTATGTTCTCTTCATCTTGGAATAACTTCCTTACTACGCTTTTTTTTCTATTTAAAAACACGATGTATATATATATATATACTGTTTTGATTTAAAATGTTTCTTATTTACGTTCAAAATTTAAGAATTTCAACATCATCGACTAGCATCGTCGAAAGACTAGTGATGCACTGATACTGGTCCACTCTACACTGTCTATTTAAGATAAGATTGCCCTCGTCTTACGGATCACTGATTATTCACCATACCTTTTTAATTGATCAGCTGATCAGTCGCATGACATTCTACACGAGAGGTATCATTTAACGTTGGAACGTAACGTCCATAAAATGTCAGAGGGTTCTTCCTTGAAGAAATTTATGATTAAATTTTCGAACTATGAAATATGAATAATGTTCTTTCGTGTTCTTCTGTTTCCGACAGTGACGGTAATTAAATTAAACAAATACAATGAAAAGATATAATAAAATAAAATACAATTTCTGGCTTAACGAGTAATATTCGTAAATATTTCTATGAAAAGAACGCAATGTTGAAAGGACGCATGCGCCAAGACGAAACATCATGCGCGTAATTTTTAACTCGGCAGAAGCTTGCTAGCTAATCATCGACCCACCTGACGTAACCGATTTAAGTACTTAAACCAAACGACTGCGACGAGCTTTCTTTTCTCACTGTGGCTTGTGGCTATATCGTGACAAACCATTCGCAATTATCATCTATTCCTATTTCCATTTTTTTTTTTCAATCTAATATAAATTAATTCAAACTTCGTCCACCGAAAATTGTTTAAATGAACGGCGAGCAAAGGATCGAGAAATCGTTCCAATCAAGCGATAAATCTTAATAAACAACGATCATTATTGATAATATAATGATCTTCTATTTCGAGTTCCATTTTTTTCAATAGATCCAAGATACGGACAGTTGTGAGTTATCTCAATTTTATTCAGAAAATCGTTCGTTAGACGAGAACCCATCATGGAAGTCGTATCGTTCATAGCGATAAATCTTCGTTATTAATAAAGAAACATTATTGGAAATCGCTTCGCACCAATCAGATCGCAATGATTGCATAATAATAAGTGGGAGATTTATCTAAGCATTTTTATAACGAACAGCACCACAATGGCTGAAAAGTCCGCCGACCTCAACCACCAGTTTAATAAATCGCCTCGAGATTCGCCACGAGAATTTATTTACCGAGAATAAGCGTGTTTCGCAACGTGGAAAGCTCTTTCATACATTTCAAACGAGAGATATCGATCGGTCAGTGTTAGGGCTATCGTGACACGAGTAAATTTGCGTAAGCTCTTGGCCCCTGTTTCCTAAAAATGTGTGCGTGATTGTAATTGCACACATCTAGCTATCTAGTTTATTGACCCTAAAAAAACTCTGCACCCCTTTCTTATCTTTGCTCAGCGATTAGATCGCACGAACGTTTCGTCCGAGAGGCAAGTATCGAACAATTTTTATCGAACTTCTTTCGCTCTATGTGGATTCATATTTTTCAATTCGTGTGATCAACACCTGATTAAAATTCGAAAAAAATATTTTTGTAATTTTTGTAATTTCACTAAAATTGTTGAATGATTAATTGTTGAACACTCGGTACATAGGATTGTAAATTTAAACCAGAGTCGAAAAAAATTTGTATAATTTGTGATTCGTGAAACTTGTTGAATGATTAACCATGGAACATCCAATAAATATATATATATAAACAATAAGAGATAAATTTAACTCGAAAAAAAATTTTAAAAATAATTTTTATAATTTATATTTTGTATTTGTAATTTGTAAAACTTGTAATCGATTGTTTATCCGGTATGTGTATCCGGATATGTACACCGCAAATTTACCAGAATCGAAAAAAATTTGTACTTTTCGTTTCACTTTTCGTAATCAGAAACGTAATTACAAATTGTTAATATCGTTTATTGTATTAACGATGCCCGTGTGGCCAATAAAATAAAAGGTTGTGAACAAATCGAATATTGCGAAAAGTAATAAGAATCACCTTCCATACCTGTAATAATACCTTTTATCGATCGAAAATTCGAATTGCAAACACGCTGCATCGGTAACGGTCGAATAACTGCCACGTTAATCTCGTGTAACATTCACCTCGCTTTTACATTTCTAACTTTTTTCATACCATTTCGAGTTTCGAATTCAAAAAGACTCGTGTGACGATTTCAGATATTCGGTATATAGAAAAGAAACATTTTTTACATTTTATTTTGAACGGAGATTCAAATTGTCGAAAATAATTTTCTTCGATGTTCCGTTTCCGTCTCGTTTCGTCCCAATTGAAAACTTTACGATTTGTTTGTTTTCAAAGCAAACAGTTTATCCTGTATGTTATTCTGATTTTTTAATATAAGTCCGTCTGATGGATTAATTGCGCAAAATAAATTCAAATTTCGTGGAATATATAGCAATGTACAGAATACATTGTTACAAGTGAAAAAGATTCGAAAATCTGATTATAATTTAATTAATCGAATTACTTAATTATATCACGTTCCTTTTATTCAAACGTTCTATTTCCTTCTTCTTACTTATCACGCGCAGAAACTCTTGTTAAATATTCTGACACGTATAACCCTCGTTGTATTCGTATCTTTATAATACATCACTATTACAATTTCCTACCTTTTTATTATTATTATTATTATTACTTTTATTTTCATAAGTTATGTATAACAAGAATCTTAAGAATTCCTCTTTCAATTCAATTGATTTCAAGGTTATTCACACAAATACGTCAATCTATCTTAATCTTACGATTATTCAGATTAATATTAATCCTTTCTCTGCCGGAATAACTTCGTACAAATATTTATAAACAAGTGTCAAATTCATGGAAGTTTTATAAATATCCATAGCGAAATTGTAGCTAGATTCCCAGTATAGCCCGAGGCTGATCCCTTAGCTACATACCTGGGGAAACACGGCACTTTGGGTCGCGTTTCTCTTCTATTTTCTCGATAGTTCGATGCCTACGCTTGCGCAGTAGTGACGCCGATATGGAACAAGCGATCCATCGGAGTCCAATGCGCGGACTTCTTCGCAAATCAACTCGACGACTACACGACCGACTGACACGAATGACACGACGGGAACAACATCGACGACAACCACGACGAAACGTGCGGCTGAATCGCGGGCACGGAACACCAATGTTTTCCCCTTCCCCCGATAGTACTCCGCCAGACACTCGGCCCATTCTACTTCATCGGTGAATCGACTACCTGTGACCAGTCTGCCGATTACCACCGGCTCGTGCAACGATCGAATATCGTTCTACAGCTTTGTGCTTATGCACCAGCCATGCAGTGACGCTCACCTTTCGCCAGTGGTTCTTAACACGTTCATTACGACTAATTTAAGAAGAAATTCGACCATAATCGAATACGTAATATATTACGTTCGAAATGTTATTGAAAATTCAAATAGAGAATAAAACCTCTTAGCGATTTGTTGTTACGATACGTGTATATAGAAGAGATCGTCGTATACAATGATTCCGACAAAAATATATCTATCGATGATATTTCTCGAATACAATGATCAATAATTTAGCAATTCTCAAACGACTACTATGCAGTCGGTTGTTAGACGATTTACTGTTCGAGAGAGTTGAATGATAATGTACGATCGGTTTTACAATTACGTTTGAAATGTTCAGGCTCTTGTTTAAAGATTGTCTGAAGGAACTTGTCAATATCGGAAAGAAGAAAAGAAGCTTACAAAATTACAGAATACGTAAGATTGTTTATATTGGGGTATTAATTTTAATCGCATTTGAGTTTCGCGCAGGAAGGGAATCAATCAATGTCGTAATGATCACGGAGGTTTATTATTTTAGTACTCGGTAATAATAATAATAATGGTAAGAAAAATATTATCGCAAGTTACGTTTGGATACGTATAAAATTGTTTTCCATAAGTTTACTCTTTACGACGCTAGGAAAATGGCGAATGAAAGGTCACTGAAAGGGACGTGCAATTTTAACGGACTCTAAGCATATTCTGATGCGAGCGTGATAAATAGATTCGTTCCTTTCTCGTCTACGTACATAACAATTTCGCAACGTTCTATGTTATTCATCTCGAAAGTATTTCCTGCATAGAATTTAATAAATGAAAAGATCTATGTAAATAATTGATCCGTTACTTTTGTGAAAGAATCTTTTCGTTTCCGTCCATGGTTATTTTAATAATATATAAAATAGTTCGTTGACAAAAGTTCGAGCGCAACAATGTCGAAATTGTTTTGCAATATAGTTTCGAAAATCATTTTAAATAAAAATGATCTGTCTAAATACGCAACCATCCATTTTATCTTTTATTTTTTGGCAACAGTGTAACCTAACCTCGAATATTTCTTGCCAAGTTTTAACCAAGATTCTCGCAGGATAAACGGTGAACTGGTAGAATGGAAATATACAAGAATTATGAGAGAACTATAAAGAAATATCGATAAACACAAAACCACTAAATCTTCTCAATCTAGACTTTTAACGGTTTTCCGAACTAAACATTGGAATCGATTGCACATTGTAAATTTATAACAGTTATTTCTTAATTTTTTCCATTTCGTGATAATATGGTGTATATATTAAATTTCACAGTTACAACATTTCAATAGTTCGACATTTTAGAAAAAATATATTAAATATAATTAAAAGTTAGACGGATATTTTAAATATGAAACTGAGATCCAATTCTTGCGATTTTTCACCCGTACACTCTGTCCGCTACTAAAGCGACCTCTTTTCTATTCCATATTTTACTTCTATGGGCCATTCTAACCTAAAATTTGCGCTTGAATATTTAAACACAAATTATACTTTTTTGCTGATCTAAGAAATTTTTTTTTTTTTGTTTCAAAGTGATAATAATTATTTTTGCATTACATTTATATAATTATTTAATTATACGAAAAATTCTTTCATCGTTGATATATATATTTTTTTTTTGTACAACTTATATATAAATATTCTTATAATTCAAATAGAAATTTTTTGATGTTGTAATGTTTTTTGATATTGTATCAATTTAAAATTCCATGTTTCACAAGAAAATACGAAGATATAATAAATTATTTAATTATTTATTTATTTCATTAACATTTTATTGATAATATTATTGATTATATTATTGATAAAATTTAGTTAGAATCAAAAAGAAAAATTTATTTTTAAATGTAAAAAAATCCCAGGATTGAGGATTAATCATCATCACTTTTTTATCTAAATTATATTTATTTATTTATGCACTAACAATTTACAAAGATGAAGTAAAAAATAATTCTAAAAAACTGTGTTGTCAAGTTACTTGAAAACTTTTATTTTATGTTCCATTATTTCAAAAATAGTAATAGCTTGAATTTATATAATAAATGCCTTCATTGACCTAAAAAAAAATTGCAATCGTTTAAAATGGCATAATGAAATCTAATACTTCATAATTTTTGGCGGAAGAACAACAATTATATTTTTCTCGCGATAATGTATGCTTAGATAATTCAATGATAAGTCACATTTAAATTTGCGAGCGAAATTTATGCGTACAGATGCAGGAAGACACGTTATTAAACTTTATTAATACATATTGCGTGATAAGCATTCGCATCTAATTTATATTCTAAATACACGTATATAGTCAATTAAAATGTAGAATTAAAATTTAAAGAATTTGTTAACACATGTTCAAATTTCATTTTCAATTTTTTTTAAGTAAATAATCGTATCGTATCATGTATTGTACAATATTAATAATTTGCATATTATATATTTTTTTTTAATCATAAAAAGGAATTTCACAAATTTATCTAATATCTTTTCTATCATCATTTCTTTTTCTCAATTAAGATTACACATATAACGATATCATAAAATTTTAGAAATTTTAGAAACTTGTTTATATTAATTGAAACATTAAATTGAAAGTAAATCTTGTTAAATCGTGAAAATATTTTTTATACTATATTTATATCAAATATTTTAAAAAATTCTACTATCCGATAGTAGAAACATTTTAAAAGTTCGAAATAAATAGAAATTATTTTTATTTTTTGGTAGCCAATAGATTAATATGGAAAATAATCGTAGCATAAATTTATACGCTTTTATTGCACGGTAGTGAATCAATATGTTAATTGATAAAACGATTAAATTAAAAACTGGAAAGAATCAATATCGATCGATCAATATCGAAGCTGAGATTATCGCGAGCAAGTGAGCGTGACAACTTTTCCCTCTATTATTATGAAAATTGTACAAACCTTGTGTATTATCATAATAACAGTACATAATATCTACGGTTCAATAAATCCGCCTTGCTATTAAATTGATAAGCACTCTCATTGAACACAAGAAAACTCCTCCTATAATAACATGATAAATCAAATTCACGCGCGATAAAACCTTCATCCCTTTAGAATCAATGTTGCTATTTTGATGAAAAGAATCGATAATATATTAATTTTTATACGATTCGTTTCGAAAAATACAATAATGTAAAATTTCGTATTATAATATTTTTATAAATATTAACAAAAGTTTATCATCGTTTTTCTAATATAATTCTTGGACAAACTTCAAGCTTTCAAATTAATCAAAATAGTATTCAAAAAATATTGCCCACTTTAAATTATTAACTCAAACTCTAAATCGAAGTTAGAATCGTACAGAAATTCCGCCGTACAATACACGAGTATCGAGATCTCGCCCGATCCTACCCGAATTTTACCGATCCGTCCCGAATGTTCAAGAGACTCGAATGGTTAAGAGTTGCATGTACTTACTTATCTCTAGCATTTACTATGCATTATTGTATACGATTTAATTACAATTTAATTGTATTCAAGCATATATACGAAAGAACGTTATATAATATAGAGGATCATCACAAGAACACTCCTAGAAATTGTTAAACGAATTCCAAATGTTAATCGCGATGATTCATCTTGGGACGAAATGTCGCGTGTTAACCGGCTCGATTAAGCTCATTGAAAGCGAGACCGTAACTCGTGACTACAACAGACTACGCAAACATATAAAACTCGAATCAAATAAATTGTTGTCGATAATCACTCCCTTCGCGTGAACGTTTGCTTGGCTCGTGCTTGACCCGACAAATTGTCAAGAATCGTCGCACCGGTTTTAACCGATTGTACAGACTACTTAAATACACATTGCGGGATAGCTTACGGTATACAATATATATGTACTATATGTACAAGTCAAAACTCGAAATCTATCGTTCTTGAACTCGTGTTACTTGTTGCTGGGTGTCTCGAACACAAACATCTATACATATAATCAACTTGTTTTTTTTTTTNTTTTTTTTTTTTTTTTAATTTTACTTGTAACTACTTTTGCGTAAAAATATAATCTAAAATCACATAGAATACAGAAAGCAAATATTTCTAATCGATCATTTTATGACGCGAAAAATTTATTACTAAAACATTATGATAAATTAAATGCAATGAGATTACATAGTTTCAAGATCGAGATTTCGTTGAAACGACACTTTTATCAACGAAGAAGCGTAATAATTACACCATTGATAATTTCAAAGACACGTTTTTAAAAAATCATCGTACCGTGAAAAAAGATTAATCGCTACATTACGATTTATTCAAACCGAAACATTAATCGATTTCATTTCTTCAATGAATTTCGCTGGAAAATTTTTATTTATAAAGAAAATAACTGTTGTGAGTCAATCATCAAGTTTCACGTCTGCACGGACGTTTATATTATGGCCACGAATTCGACTTCGTTTCGTTTCCAATGAATAAATACACGGATGTATGTCAAAGAGTCAAAGATTTGGGCCAAGAAAAATCATAATAGTCTGTCATGTACGACGTTGTCGTATACATGTTCGAAATAACTTACATAATATAATATCAAACTTTAACATTCTCCGTGTTATTTTTATCAACAGAGATTTTACGAAATATTCTTCCTAGAAAGCTCCTAGAACGATCTCGATTATTTATTTCGTTTCCACATAGGCATAGGTTCTTCATCGCAAACTTTTTCTTTTTTAACGCATTCTTTTGTAATTTCTCTTCTTCTAGCTATTAAATTCTCGGCTTATTGTCAGGAAATTGCGGTTAGAAAACGCAATAGAAGGAAGTGGAGGCAAGCCTCTCACGAGCAAAATTGTGTACGAGAACATAACCTAATAGTCTCTCGGTGGGCCACGTGTACAACATTGTTTACACTCGTTCGGCGGATATATCTATTCATCGAAGTGACTTCTTGATTTTTGTATAAACAAATAACGAAATGACTGTGTGCTTAAGTGTCAAGCACTGATGATTTGCTCGTCTTTTTTTATTCACTTAACATGCTTAGTTTTGTTTTTTTTTTTAAAATTACTTTTGTTTACGTTTAAAAAAGTAACGTTTACGAATTTTTTTTTTTTTTTTTCTCCCAAGGCCATTGGCCACGTGGCCAATTTTTTTGAACAGGCATCGATCTAAATCTGCCTTTAACGTGCGTTCCAGGAATACCGAATGATTTGTCGCAATCGTTTCTTTACGCGTATCGAATGTATACGTATAAGCGTATTATTTATTATTTCCCATTGCCCATCCATTTAAAATGGAAAGGATATATGAATACTTTATGACGAAGCCAAATGTATGTAGGTAGTACAAGATTGCCAGTTACCAGTTATAGATGGTTTCGATGTTCATCACGTATCAAGGTATAAAGAATGCAGTCTTAAGAATGTGTGAAGAGTTTAAATCATGTTTTAATGGAGTTAATAGTGGTATACAAAAAATATTTGAACGTTTATTTTATATATGGAAAATATTTTTGATATTTGATTACTTTTTACTTTTGATTACAATATAGATAAATTTTTTCTTCAAATTTGATAATTAAAATGTTTATTACAAACAAGATTGTATTAAATTAATTTTAAAAATAGATTTTAAATAAATAACAATTTTTATTAATCCTTGAATGGCTGAGCAATTAATATATATTAATTTGCGAAAAAGTTACGAAATACTTGAAGAAAAAAAAAAAATAATAATTTAAAAGAAATGAAAATAAATTAAAACATAATTATTTATTCTTTAATAATCAAGAGTTAAGTGCCTAATTTTTATAAAAAAAAAAAAAAAAAGAAGTAATTTTATGTGTTCAAATACATTTATATACTTTTATATACTTTTGTACATTTTGTTTCAAATATTTTTACAACTTTAATGTATCTATTTATAATGTTAATAATATTTAA